AAGAAAGAACGCGAAATAAAAAATATTAAAAAAAAAGTTAAAAAATAAAATAATAAAATAAATTTTTTATAAAATATAAATTTGTTCAAATTAATCAATATTTAATTTATTTTATATTATAGATAAGAATAAAAATATATTAAAATACTTATATTTAAAATATTTAAAGATTTAAAAATTAAAAAAATAATTTATCTTTAAAGTATCTTGAATTTATTTATAAATATTTAGATATTTAAGAAAATTTTTCTTGTTAGTATACTTGAATAATCTTTAATTTTAAAAAAATTAAAAGTACTTTATATATATTAAAAAAATTAATAAAAAATAAAAATAAAATTTTACTTAATATACTATATATATAAGCTTATAAATAATAAAAAACACTTTCTATTAGATAAAAATTTTTCAAACAAAAAAAATTTAAAAACAAAAATAAAGGTTACTATACTAGTTAATTCGGATCGAGGTTATAGCCAACAAATATTTAATAATAAAGTAATCTTATAAAGTAATATTTTCAGTCAAATGGCAAGTAATATTAAAAAATTTTTATATCTTATTAATAAGTATTGAACCTAATTTATATGAAGTGTATCATTTTAACACTAAGAAAAAAAAACCAATAAAATTTTTTTAAAATATATTAAAGATATTTCGAATACAAAATACTGATCAATTAATGATCATATTTTATTAAAGGATTCACTAATACCATAATTTCTTATTATGAACGAGTTATATTAAAATAATTTAGTACAAATTATCATAATTAATAAATATTCCATGAATAATATAAATTTATTTGCAAAACTTAAAACACCTATCTAATTTAATTTAAATCGATTGATAGAATAATATATCGAATTGTTTTAATAGCGCAAATTCACATCTCTTAAGAATACATGTCCTTTTGTGCCTCTTTAGATCCATTTTCCGCTGCCTTTTGCAAATAATACATGTAATCGTCATTGCTGACAGGAAAATCAGATTCTCCATTCAAATATAATTGAGAAAACATGTATAGTGCATCAGGATCCCCATGGTTAAATACGGCTTTTTTAAGAAACCTCATACCTTCCTCCTCAGAATGATAGGTCCCTTTGAGACAGGCATGAGCGTATAGGTATTGACCTCGTGCATAGTCACCCTCAGCAGATCTTCCAAGGAATAGTAAAGCTCTAATTTCATCTTTACCAATTCCATAAGTTCCTTCGTAGAAATAAAGGCCGGCATAATATGCAGCTTCAGGGTTGCCGTTTTGTGCCAGTGATTTAAAATGAGGCAAAGCTTCCTTGTATTGTCCCCTATTGTGAAGAGATATTGCTTCATAAATATTTAATGACTTTGGTGACGGTGCATCCGCTGAGTTGTTCTTCTTGTTAGGTACAACGGGAACGTCAATGGACATAGCAGAGGACAAGGACGTTTCCGAATCATTTCGATTTAGTATCCTTAGTTCATTTTCATCATTTTTTATATTTTTAAGTTGTTTTTTCATTTTTTTAATTGATGGACGGCTATTAAAATCGTGATCCCATGCCTGCTCAACTAATTTTTTATACTGTTCCGGGGTATCTTCCGAGAATGGAGAGGGCCTTTGTCTTTTTTTTAATTTTTTCTCCCACTTGCAAATCATTTTCAATATCATCAAATGGAATTTTGTGCGATGAAATTTCCCAGAGAAGGATTGCAAAACTAAATATTATCAAATCATATTAGATAGTTCTCTAAAATGATATATTAATTCGCTTTATTTTACTGTACCTATATACTTCACATTTATCGGTGTATGGTCGAGTTGGATATTTGATTTTTTCTGGCGCAGTCCATCTGAATTTATTAAAAACTTTAGTGATCGTGTTCAAACTCCCAAAAAACTTATTTTTATTATTAATAAAGATTAAACCTTATAGCTTCAGTTGGTAATATGCTAGTTGCTCCTCCAATCTTTCGACTCATTTCAAAATTGGTAAGTTTTGCATCTAAATGTCTATTGAGCAATACATTTTTGCTAAAGCCGAAAAGATTTTGTCGTTAGAATAAATTTCGCAAATATAAAAATGATATACAACAAGAGTTTATGCACCTTCTGATATCTCTATGGTAAATGTTAGCACCTTTGCAAAACGAAAGACCTGTTGCAATTTGTTCCGCCATTTTGAGCTTGATTTGCCACGGAATCCATGAATTTTCATGTAAATACTCCTGGAGACTTCTATTCTCCATCCATTCAGTGACAACAAAAAAATAATTAGTTCCGTTTATGTTTTCATAATAGATGCCAACACTATAAATAAAAAATTAAATTAATTAGGTTAATTGCAATAAACGATCATAAATTCAAGCAAAGGTTATAAATACTTAAAATTTTTCAATATAGTCACAGGAACTAAGCGCACTAATAATTTTTGTTATTTTTGCAATCTTCCTTTTCTCTTTTTCCAAATCAACATTTGATAGTTTTTTTACTGCAACTTCTTTTTCGATGTAGATGCGCTTTCGGATATTATTTCTCGTAATTTCCTCCTCCTCCTCCTCCTCATCGTCAAAGAGATCCGGATTAATCTCCAAATTATTAATAGCATCATCTGTCAGATCATCATCGCCTCCCTTCGACAGAAGCATAATTTCTATAAAAGCTTTTAGATCATCAGTCATGTCTTTAATATCACATTTCATTTCTGTAATTTTATTATGAGCATCGAGTATTAAACTATTGTAAAAATCCTTGGTAGCATCGTTAAGGTTTTGGAGCAATTTTTCATTCGCAGCGGCAATCTTTAATAAGCATCAAATAATTAATTTTTCTGGTCATAAAATAAATGAGTGATTTATAAAAGATCCTACCTTATCTGCATTCGCTATTTGTTTGAGCCATGCGATTGTCTTCGCGCTAAACTTTCCAGGTGTATCTATTTCTTTCATGTATCGGTTTATGTCTTTCAATGCTTCTTCATATTTATTTCGCGTTCTTTCTATGCTGCTTTGTGGGAGACATTTCACTTCTGTAAGAATTTCTAAACTTCTTTCCACACGAGCAGAAATATATTTGCATATATCCGTATTATGCTTTGCTCTTTCTGCCCGGCTTATTATATCTTGAGCAATTTCGGCTATAGTACTCCCAAGAAACGGTATAGTGTAACATACTTGGACAATACTTAATTTAACGAAATCCTCCAAGATATCAGGTACCGGTTGTTGCCCCTCCATTGTGTTATGAGAAGCGATAAGTACTAACACATTTTCGTTATACCGTATATATACTGTATAATGCTTTTTGTTCTGTGAAACTATTTTTCAAAACGATTATAACCGGTTTAAGTATGCATGTTCAATGGCGAATTTGGATTGTCATTTACACGAATAGCTCTAAATTAAATATAAAAAATTCATATTATAAAACAGCATTACTGGTATTATAAGAATAATATCTTTTTTTTTGAAACGGCGACTCAGCCTTGTTTTATTAAAGTTTCAAGTCAGGGAAAAATGCAAATACAAGAAATAATTACTAATAAAACACTTCTAGAATTGTCTATGAGAATTAAAATTTTATACTACTACTATCACTTTGATTCTGTAAGCTGATTAATCTTCGAGAGCTTTGTTAATCAAGGATATATTGCTTATTCCTCAGTTACTTTCAATATCTTTATGTTGTGAAATTCTAACTATTCCAATCTATAGGATAGTTTGTTGTCAGGAAGAATTATATAGATCAATTTAATTCCCATATCAAGAAAAAAGATTCATCGACCCTCCTAGATTCCCCTTAACACATGTACTCAGATGAAACATATTATCCTAAAAAGAAAAATTTGATTCCTTATATCTTACCTACTATAAAATTCAACTTTGTCTTGAAAACTTTGTTTCGAATCTTTATCTATTCGACAGAGCTGAAGAAAAAATCTATTCTGTGGTCAGGAGTAGGTGACTACAATTATAAAACCCAATTATAGTATTTTGTGACCTTTACCATAGTCAGATGGACTCTTTTTTGAAGGAACCAATAATGTAAATAGAGAAATATCCTGTACCATCTGTGCCAGACTCAATGACTTATGGTGGACCTCAGATTCTTATGGAATTGAAGAAATATATTCAGATATGTGAGGTAACTAATGGAAGTTTGTTTATATTTTCTTACTAATGTGAGCTCTACCTATCCAATCATGGTGTGAGAAACTTTGTGTTACTCAAAATTCAGGGTCAAACTGAGGTA